ACATATACAACACTTCTCACGCCAACACGCTCCTTTAGCTTGCCTAAGGCCACACACTGCAGAGTCATCGCAGAGGCAGAGGCAGAGGCCGCACACTGCAGAAGCAAAGTGTGAATGAGAAAATGTGAAAAAAACAACAAAAGCTGCGGGACAGGGTGGGTTTAGCCACTGCAAATTAATTTCTTCATTCTGGCTATTATAATGATCCAATCGGATCCCTATTTGGTGATCTAATAAATATGGTCATTCCCTACGAAATGGTTTTTAATTTTATTTTATCTTCAAAATTGTAGATTTGGGAGGTTCATTTTTTAAATACACTTGTAACAGTGTGAGCATACAGAAGTCTGGATGCAAAATTTAGTGGCTCTAGCTTTTATGGTCCCTGAGATCCAGACACTCAACAAGGAGGATGGACAGACGTACAGACGGACAGACGGACGGACAGACAGACATGGCTCAATCGATTCGGCTATTGATGCTGATCAAGAATATATATATACTTTATGGGGTCGGAAACGTTTTCTTCTGTGCGTTACATACATTCACTTTGTGCACAAATGCAGTATACCCTATTTACTCTTCGAGTACCGGGTATAAAAAGAAAAAAGAGTCTCTTAATATTTATTTAATATTTGCTTTTGTTTTTATTTCTTTTTGTTTATTTTCGTTGTTTTGTTGGTGGTCTTTTGCCTTTGTTTGTGGGCGCAGCGGAAATTTTGTTATAAGTCGTTAATTTTTATTGAATTGTTGTATAATAAGTATGCCGAATGCTTTTTTTGCTTTTCCTTTTCAACAAGTTATCCTCTTCAACAGACACCCACCAAATGAGTAATTATTAGAAAATGTTGCAAAAGACTTTGTCAGGGGACGGAAGGGGAGGAAATAAAGAGAATATATAAATAGAAATAAATGTAGTTATAAATCATTAATGCGCCTATAATTGTTCATGTAAATGCAAAATGATTGTGAGAGAAATTAAACGGGATGCTTCAAATTGGAATATTAATTTTTAATTAATATAATTAATAAAACTTACCCTCCATAGTAGATGTTAATGGCTATCGATTTCCCGAGATTATTGTATATTCTATGTAGGTTTGACCTTTTCCTAAGACCTTCTCTCAATGTTTTCCATCCTTGATCACGAAAACAGGCAAACTATCAAAGCATTTCCTATTGTAAACACTTGCAAAATCCTCCACTTTGAAAACAATGAGTGTGAATTTTTATATATCGACTGTTGAAATATTTACCCATATAGCATACATCCGAATATATCGCGGAAAACTGTTGCCTTTTCCGTGTAATAGAAAAATCAACAAATAGCCCGAAGAAACACACAATTTTTGTAATTTGTAACAAAACTTTCTTGACCCAAATTCGTGTGTATGTGCTTTTTTCTGTAAACAATTAAAGCAAATCTGAATTACGATCTTACAAGTACAAGAACAAAGTACTCAATACCCGGAAAGATGAAGAAATTAAATATAAATTAAATGTATTTTTCATGGTAAATGGAAATGGAAATGAGGAGCAATGCAGAGCAGAGCAGCACATTGTCGTAGGTCTCCCATAACCTATATATGCATGCCAGTCTCTTGGGCTCTTTCGAGAGTTGATGTAGGTCTGGGAAAACGAACTTAAGTTTCCCTCCGAAGCACAAAAGATGAAGGCATTAAGTGAACAAGATTCCCCCAGATTGAGCAATTAAATCGAATCAATTGTTTTCGAGTCGTGGCAGCAGCAGCAGGGGGAGGCCGCACTACTACCAAGTGTTTGCGACCAGACATGGCGCTGTCCGGCATTGTCCGGTCGATGGTCTCTGGTTCTCCGGGTCTCCGATTCCCGGACTATTCCTAATCACCCACCGTAGAGAATCTGCACTGGCTGCTGTGCTGCCGTTCTAAAAGTGTTTCTCATTTTATTTTGTAATAATACAAAACTTACAATTGGTCAGAGACGCCGACGGGGCTGGTTCAGCCTCAGACGCAGCCTCGATGGCCTATAGATACAAATGTATCTGTATCTCCATGTGTGTGCGTTTGTAAATGGCTATAACTGTGCGCTTGTACGAGTATGTGGCACGCCGACCGACAACGACTTGTCCATTGACGTCAGCAATGCCCCCAAAGTCGCGCACACTGTCGGGCGGGTTGCCAAGCAGGCGGGGAATCGGGACACGACTCTTGTTTTTGTTGTTGGAGACCAGGGCGACAATCAGGGGCAGGGGCAAGCGGCATTTATCCGGGGCAAGGAGGAGGGGACTAACCGAACTGTGAGAACCGAAACGTACATTTTGGCAGTCACTCATACGAGTGTTGGAGACCTGATGCTGATTTCCCCCACCTGATGCCCGGTTTCCCTCATTCTGGATTTGTTTCTACAGAGCAGGGGTGTCTTGATTCTGTGGATTGAATGGTTATGAGGGTATCAATCATTGCAAAGGTAAATTTGACCAAATGGAGAATATCGAAAGCTTCCCCATTCCAGACAGCAAATGATGGTTTTACTCAAATATTAATTTTCTTAAGTGAATTCCTTATTCTCAATGTTGTCCAGGGTATCCTCCAGTCGGGCATTGTCTGCCCCTACAATGTTCATCTGTCGCAAGAATTTCATTTTGCCATTGGCTGGCAGGTCGATGGTTCTCCTGGCGCCTTCTCTTTGTTGCATTTGCATTTCACAGTCTGCCAAAGCCACATATCTGCTGCTACTCGTACAGCTAATGTCTGACTAGCCATACATCCCCGTGTGTGTGTGTGTGTGTGGATTGTTTATTTTGACCCACTGTTTATACGAGACTGACTCCCTGCGGTCGGATAGATAATTTCCACGGAAATTCTGGCTTCCTTCTATATTTAGAGCTGCAGAAAATGCATCCCATCCCATCTCATCTCTCCGGCGAATGCCTACGTTTGCCTGCCTGACCCTTTTTGGCTCATTTGTGATTTTTGGCTATTTCGGGCATGCAAAGTGTTTTGCTGCGGATCGACGAAAGAAATTATTAAGATGAAATGGCCATAACGAATGCGAGTACTCGAATCGTTTGAATCGAGTGTAGCAGCAGCAGCAGCAGCAACAGCAGCAGCGACGACAGCAGAGAAATGGCCACTGCGAAAGTGAAAGTTTGATTTATGGCCACACGCAGTCCTCTCTGACTTTTGAATCTCTGTTGATGATTTTTAATGGTATATAATTAGTTTTCGCCCCTTTTTTCACTCATTTATTAGGGATCTCTCTGTGTGGATGCCACCTCTGGCCCCGAGCCAATCAATTCTGGAACGGAAATAGAAATTAGACAAGAAAACGAAAGAAAAAGAACCATCCAAACAGCCCAGAAGAAGCATCTTTGACTTGTTGCCGCTTGTCCCTTTCCTCAAACTTAGGCGAAAGTGTTTTCTTTTTTTTCAGTTTTTTGCGAGGTTAATGAGCTGCAAGATTCTGCCCCCTAGCAGCCACTTAATATTCCCGACGGTGAAGCAGGAGGACTGAATCTTGTAATGGAATATGAAATGAGACTTTAATTAAAATGTTTTGCGCCCCAGAAATTAAATAAAGGATGAACGAGGAAAATACTTAGTGTTGGAAGAGGGAATAAATCCAACAGCATTTTCCTCCCAAGATCATTATATTACTCTCTCTAATATACGCCTGCCAATACCATCTAGCTGTTTCTCATACCATTATGAGAGACACTCATAAATTAGTTGAATTGCATTTCTCGCATGCCTCAGTGGCAAATATTATCCGGCTTGCCTTTGCCAGTAATTTGTCTAAAATAAAAATATTTTTCAATATATGCAATTTCGATCCCACCTTCACCCCTGCCTGCATCTCTGCCTTCCACCTCCTCCTCCTCCATCCGCAGTTGACACTTTAAGAAATACGATTTTGATCGCTAAGCAGAACATATAATTTAACGTCAAACGCGATTCGCGGTAAAATTGTGAGAACATCGAGCGAAAATCACATCACGCCCTATAAATGTTTTGCTCTGCAAAGCAGAGCGCTTTGATTTTAATTTGATTTTAGCTGCGAATTTCCAGCTAACGCATTCTCAGTATACTATGTAGATTCTGTCTGTCTATCTGTCTGTTTGTCCTGTGAACCATTCGACGGCAAATCAAATGATTTCTCTTACCATTTTCCTGGCTATGCTATAAATGAAATCAAACGGGGGGCGAATGGAGGGGGCGCTGGTGCTGTGAATGGCACTACGCAGATTATGGATTCCAAAAATCGCAGCAGCAGCAACAGCAGCAGCAACAGCAGCAGCAGTCACAATCTGTGACTAACTGCTGACGTCTTTTGCCTGTGTGGTCTGTGGCCCATATATAACTCAGAGACCCCCTGTACCCTGTATCTATCTACACACACATATCTCCCATGTCTGATCTAAGATCTACGCAAATTCTGCACTAACTTTGTCACAGACAATTTGGCGACAACCATCGTCTATTTCTTTATGTCTGTCTCTCTGTCCATGTCTTGGGCGTGGGCGTGGGTGTGAGTGTTGCTTGTCCCCATGGAAGGCAGGGAGGCAGGAGAGGGCGGGCTGTAAGCGCTTTTCTATGTCCGTTCTTGTATGATAAATTAATAATTCGCAATGTGGAACACAAAACATAAAAAGCAGCACATCAAACGTTGATTATAAATCATGAGAAACAACACAAAAATATTTCCAATTAATACCACAATCGAAGTTCCGTGAAAAACAGCAGCAAGAGGTTGAGTTTGTTGGGTGAGAATTTCTGTTGCCAAGGATAGGGTCAAGGCAGAGGTAGACAGGAGAATGTTTTTCCGATTGTGGCCAAAGGTCAAGTTAAATCATTTTAAGAATGGCAAACAAATAGGAAGGTTAAACGGAATGTTTGCTTGTCCTTGAAGGGAACTTGAACCTGTACTTTGGAGAGAGAACTTTGAGAGAATAATAAACTTTTTATTATGTGCAAAATCAACTTAATTCTAATCATCAATATTTTGTCTATCTCTTGCAGAGAAACGTTCATTTTCCTTCCGCCTGCGCCGCTCCTTTGGCGATGGTGGCAGCACCAATAGTCGCAACAGCAACAACAACAGCAGCACCTGCACCAATCACAACAACCAGAAACGCTGCAGCACACCCTTGACACCCACCAGCACTAGCACGGGACGCCTGGAGGTGCCCGGAGCGGCATCCGTGAGCCGTCGGAGCAGCATCTACAAGAAGCCGGACAAGAATGATGGCGGACAGATTCATATGATACCGGATGTGGACTTGCCGCTGATGACATTCGCCGATCAGTACAACATTGAGAAGACACTGGCGGAGGGATGTTTTGCCAAGATTCTGCTGTGCCGGCACAGGCCCACCAATACGCTGGTGGCCCTGAAGGCAGTTCATGCAGAGTTGACCACGATCAAGGAGTTCCAGAAGGAGTTCCACTACAACTACGAGTTGTCGCACCATCACCACATCTTGAGCGCCTACGCTGTGGCCTTCCAGACCATGGACTACTACGTGTTTGCGATGGAGCATGCACCGTACGGGGACCTGGCCTCGAACATCGGACCCAATGGCCTGCATGAGAATGCCTGCAAATTGATATCCGAGCAGTTGAGCTCGGCCCTGGGCTTCATGCACTCGAAGAATCTGGTGCATCGTGATCTGAAGATTGAGAATATTTTGGTGTTTACGCCGGACTTTACCCGGGTGAAGTTGTGCGACTTTGGGGCCACCACCAAGAAGGGTCTGCTGGTGCACAAGGTGAAGCACACGTGGACCAGCTGTGTACCGCCGGAGCAGCTGGAGCTGATCAAGAACGAGCGCTTCCAGTGCCTGCCCATCAGCGATTCCTGGCAGTTTGGCATCTTGCTGTACAACATCCTCACGGGCAATCCGCCATGGCAGTCCGCGGACTGGGTCAAGGATCAGTCTTATGCCAACTTCATGAAGTACGAACAGCGCAAGACCACCAAAGTCCCTGACAGTTTCCGTCGATTTTCGCCCCGTCTGATGCGCTGCTTCCGCAAGTATCTCAGTCACGACCCAGAGGATCGCTGCAAGATCACCGAGGTGACCAAGTACATGAAGGATCGCTGGGTTGAGTGCCGCATCTCCACCTCCAAGTCGGCCACCCTCATCTCGCCCACCCACCACGACCAGGACTCGTGTATCTATCTGAACCAGCGCGAGGGCCGACTCTCTGGCGATGAGAACAAACTGAGATTCAAGCGCATGATGTCCAGCTATGGCCTGGACATACCCATCGATCCGACCATGGTGCGACGGCGAGTCTGGGACTGGCTATCCACATGCGATGCCAGTTTCGATCCAGATGTAGAGAGCTTGCATGGCCTGGATACAATGCATTAGAGAGAGATTCTCGATAATATCATCCTCTGCGGAACTGTTTGAATTTGTAGGTCTATGAGATCATATTTGAGAAAACCAAAACCATATTTATAAATGTTAGAGAAAATTGTCTATAGGTATTTAATTTAGTGAGAATTAATGTCAGGTTAAGTAAACCCAGCAAACAACCAAAAAAACACGTCAACGGATTACTTTCCACTAGTGTTACCTTTCTAGTCTTCCGCCACGATGATTTTCTTCGATATACATATACTATACATAATGTGTGATTTACGCGTTACTTACTTTATATATACGATACATATACAGATACGGTACTATACCAACTAATGCAATTATCTAGAATCTAGTATTTATATATACATACTCAGATATTTGTAGAGAGCAATTAAGGGATGACCAATTACTAGACGTTTAAGATTTGTTGTATATTTTTGTAGTAGATAATCGTAATGTCTATCTTTAATCTGTAACCATAGTCCTTCTATGTGTATCCCCTATAAATCTTTGTATATATATTTCTCCTTCGATTGCATACGACTTTTACTATAAAGTATATTGATATTGATATCCCATGTATACCATATACCATAAAGAAATATAATAGAACCCCAAACTGAGTTTCCATGAAAGTTTGCAGAGTATTGCTAAAACTAAAATATCTTTCCAGGTCCACAGGTCCAGTTCCAGATGCTCTCATTAAACATTTTGGCAAACGGTTTTCATCTAAACAAAATTTTCATAATCATCATAAAAGTTCATCATGAAAATGTTCGTTGGTTCCCGGGGGGAACATACAAACTAATCGGTAAATATTTATTGTTTAAATTTAATGAATTATTTAATGTTGTTTGGATACTGGTGGTGGCCTTTTGCAGCAAATCGGATTAGTCTTTGGCTAATTGATTGTGAGGCATTTTGAAGGTCGTCTCCATTGTTGACTTTGAAAAGGTAGTTCGCGGTCAGTGTGTGGTTTCCCAGGGGGGTTTACTCGGTCGCTGGAGAAGATGGATAACCCAAAACATGTCGGACAGGATGTGACGCCTCGGTTCGTAATAAACAAACAGGCACATATCCCGCTCAGGTTCATTCAACAATAGGTGGAGGGGTTGGGGTTGTCTTTTGTTTGGTCTGTGGGCGGACCCGGACACATTGTTTGTATTAGGCGCCTGTCTCGTCTTCTTATTGTCATTGCCATTAACTTGTATGGATATCATCTCAAGGGAAGCAATGGCCTCTTCGAATCTGATCAATATGTTAACTGATTGATAAACCTGTAATTAAGTTAAACGCTTGAGGAGTCAGTGGCGTTTCACCTTGACTTTGTTTGATAGAAGACAACAGCAGACTCGGGCCACTTTTATGAGGCGCATGCCAGCACTTAAATGTTTTTAATACCCCCCAACGGAAGGGGACTTTAATATTGGCTAGACGTGAAATGTGAATGGGGTTTGCTAGGGATTGGACTTGCAAATACTTTGGAAATTGGAGAAAACTATTGCTGGATAAGCAGGATTAACAATGTGCGGCTGGCAATCCTTACCCAAAATGGAGCAGCAAAATGATTCTCGATCGAAAACTATCACAAATTTAATCGGGTGCAAATTATTGAAATATAAAACCAATTTATATGATAGTCTCAAGGGTATTCCTCTTGCCTCCACCAGTATTTATGTGTGTCTGCACAACAGGAGGAAAAAAATCCAACGAATAGATTGGATGATCATAAATTATATGGTGGGCCATGTGATCTGCATATTTCCATGCCACGCGCATTGAAGCATTGAACCAAATCTGATTTGCCTGGCCAAGAACACAGAACACACGCATAATGCAGTTAGTTCAAAGCAAACAAAAGTCTAGGACGACCCGATCGTTCGTTTATGGATCAATAAATATACAATTTATCTCATTTAATTAGTTGCTATTGGTGTAAAACTGAGCGGAATATCAAAACATGTTGTGCCGCGCGCATAAATTTCATTTTCAATCGCCACGAAAATAGGTTTTACGATGTCTCTCCGTCAACGCAATGAAAACCCGCATCTCTCTTTCGTTCGAGGTCTAACTTTGGTCCCTGCCGTATGCTATTCCATCTATTAGCTTACTGCTGTGTGTTGTTGTTGTTGTTGCTGTTTCTTGTTGTGCGCGGGACATAATTTATGTGTCGCATTTGCCTTTTTGGCAATATCGCAAACGATCAAGAGGAATAGGTTTATTTTCGTTTGTGGAATTACGACTCTTTGGTGTCATTCTATATATGTACATACATATATCAGTGTCAACTCGTCCACTCGATGCTCGAAAGTATGCAACACACGTTGTTGAATATTTGTTGTTGAGATCTTTACAGGGTTGTTAATGATCCAATATCCATCAGAGCTCTTTCATCAGTTCAGTGGCCCCTTAATTAGATCAGCATCTGGTAATTGTTGCTGAGAAATCAAAATAATTTTGCATGGGATTCTCATAGATTCGGTTTATTGGATGCACTTTGTTCCACGTGCATAATTGTTGGGGGTTCTGTTTGGGTTCTCTTGTTTTCAATCGCTTAGTAACTAAACAAATACGGGAAGGCTCTTCTCTATTTATGTCTGTGGGTAGGTGGGTGTCTAAAGTCTAACGAGCTGTCAAAAATGTCCGATGTGTGTGTTGTTCGTACAATATAAAATGTGTATAAAAATGTGTGCCATAAATCATAAAAATTAATGAAGAGTTGCAGCAGTTGCCAACAACAGTCGGGCGCGCGTTCCGCTCATAATTTGTATGTTCATCAGGCCGACTTCAGTGGAATATGCTGTTTGATTACCTATAAGTAAGATCGAAATTGAGAGATGAGATTGCCTGTACACATCCATCCATGCACGATAAACACACTTGATGGCCCGCCCGCCCCGAAATGTTTACAATTAAATAATAATAAAACGAATATCAATTAAGACGCGTGTGAAATACGTCAGAGAACCGAGCTGGATCTAAATTTAGTTAACGGCTAAACGATTGGCCTTTCCCTTTGTATTTGTGTTTAGTTTTATTCATCAATCGACGGGGGCGGTGGCTGAATCATTCCCGAGTCAAAACAACTCGCCCCCGTCCGCAGGAAACGCGTTTTTCCGCGAAGAGCACATGCAAAGCGAACCAAACCTCCCGATAAAAGCATTTAATTCGGCAAAGCAAAAAACCAATTCAAGTAAAGGCGATCGATTGATGGTGGTTGGTGGTGGCCAGCAGAACTCACCTCGGAGCACATGTTCTTGTAGATCTCGTCGGTGTCCCAGGGTCCGCGTTCGGGCAGAGCAATCCCACGCCTACGCAGTTCCTGCACGCAGTCTGTTAGATCGAAAATTGGCAACGGATCGATGCCGGCCTTGGCCACCTTGGCAGCTAAATACTCTACATAGTGGGTGCTAACAAAAGAGGAAGGGTTGTCTATAGTGCGAATACCCTCTGTTTTCTCTCTGTCACTTACCGACACATTCCCGCATGCTTGTCGGGCACCTCGGTGTTGCACACCGTATCCACCAGCCCTTGGGGTGTCTCCTTTTGCAGCGGGACGGGACAACGTGCCATGGCTCGGGCTGTGGTCGAGCTACTCAACTCGTCCTGTACCTGCACGGGTTCCGTGTCGAATGTGACCTTTTGTTCCTTGAGCAGAAACTGCAGCTGCAGGGGGATCTTATCGCGCAGATAGAAGAGACAATTGCGCGGATGATGAGCGTGCAGGCCGAGCTTGGCGCAGTAGGTGGACACCTGGCACTTGGCACCCATCATGAAGGGTCGCGCACAGCCATAGCAGAACTCGAATTTGCACTGAGTGCAGGTGAAATGCATGCAGCCGCCTCTGCAAAAGAAAGATGATGAATATCCCAGTTGTAGGTGTGAGAGTGTTGAGTGTCCCACCTGGCCAGCGAATAGCGAAACTTGCACTTGGGACAATCAATGCCGTTGTGGGCCAAATGCTCTTGGACACCCTGTGCCTGCTTCTCCGGATCGTTCTCCCGCCTCCACTCCAGATACGCCTCACAGCTGCTGCCCTCGTGCTGTCGCTCCCAGGGCTTGCGGCACTGGGCGCAGGTCACTGAGCCACAGTCGGGACATATCAGACGCTTCTGCTTGGGCCGGGCAAAGAATCCCGAGGAGCATTGAATGCACCACTTAAAGTTGGGATCCTGCAGCAGTGTGCGATCGCGAAGCTTGCGCTGGAACAGCTCGTGCACATCGCTGTCAAGAATACTCTTGAGAAAGATGTCCAGATTGGAGAAGTACTCCAGATGCTCATCCTCGTGCTGCTGCTCGTTGCTCAGCTCTGGCAGCTTGCAGTAGGGGCAGCTGCAATCATTGATACTGCGATCGGTTATCTGTTGGATAGAATTAAAGATGAATCTATATGGAAAGCAATCTCTTCCTGACTAATCTCTCACCTGCACTGTAAAATAGCTTTTGGCACACTGCTTACAGCACTTGTGGGTGCATTTCAACATGGACACAATCTGGTTCATGGGATAGGTGTTTGCGCACAGTTCACAATCCTGTTGCAGCATGGCTATAGCCTGATCCAAGTCCGAGCACTCCCTGGCCGCCCACAGGGCCACATCCTCTTGGAACTTCATGTTGACCAAAGTGGCAGCTATCTGAGCCTCACCAACGCTCGTCAGAGTGCCTTCTGCCACATATTTGCGGGCAAGAACCTGTAAGGAAAGGGAAACACCAATGGTATTAGATATTCTCAGACTCTCGCTTGACTCTACACACCGCTGGATCCTCTATAACCGGCTCCTGGACACTAGGATATGCCCGAAAGACGGGAATACTCAGCTTACGCTTTAACATTTCTGCTTTCACGGAGGGTTCCGTGATCTGTGAATCCTCATTTTCCCCCTCCTCCTCATCACTCTCCGAGGTCTCGTAATCATCATCGGAGAAGCACGTCTCGTGGTACTTTTTCTTGGGAATGCGAGGCTGAGAGCGAGGCTTTAGTAGTGCCGCTGCAGCCGCCGCCGCCGCGCCACTCGTGCTGGGACCCAGCTCTAGGGGCAGCATAGAACTAGTAGTCTTTGTGTTGAATCTACTGATGGCCTCGCTGATGGACTTCTTTGTCGTGGGACTGCTCTTCAGGGGCACTCTTGAGGCGGCACTCGTTGTGGTTTGCTTTTGAAGGTACTCCTGCTGGATGCGTTTTACTGAGGATATGCCCATGGGTGCGGAGAAAGACTTGGAACGAAGAGGAACCTTCTTGTTGCTGCCTGTGTTTGTGGTGTTGCTTGGTGTGGTTTCATTTGTGGGTTTGGGTATTTTACTGATTGTGGATTTGGCAGTTCCTGTAGCTGTGGTTTTCCCTTGTTTCGGTGTTACCTTTTTGGGCTCTTGCAACACGGTTTCAACGGGAAGCTCCACGGGACGGGACTCGGAATCGACTAAGGGCGGTGCAGGTGTTATGGGCAGGGCAACGGTTGGTTCTTCTACTGGATGCTCTTCTTCTGTGGGTATTTCCAGGACTGTTTCAGTGGCTGGTTCAACGGGGCGACTCTCTGAATCTTCTATGATGGGAGGAACATGTATGGGCAGGGCCTCTACTGTCGAGGATGTCATTTCAGAGGTTGTGGCTTCCGCTTGTGGCAACATTGACTCTTTCCGAAGACTCTTTCCTGTGGATGAAACAACCTCAGTCTCTGCTGCATCATGGCTGATGGGCGTGACTGATGGGAAGGGATCGGTGGCTGGTGGTGCATGGATGTTCGCATTGTGTGTGTCTTCCTCCTCCTCCTCCTGCTCTTCATCTTCTTCGATTATGTCCTCGATTTCGGTGCCTTCCTCCCCGCTAGTCGCGTCTCCCACAAAGGATGTGTGCTCGTTGTATGTGGTGCCATCCTCCTCATCGTAGTCGCCCTCTTCCTCGCCATCGCTGTCGTACCATTCCTCCTCCTCGCCCTCGTCGTACTCGTCCGAATACTCCTCGGAGTACTCCTCCTCATCGGTGGACTCAAAGTCATCCATGCTGATCTCATCGCGCATTTGCTTGATCAAACGCTGAGTGTCAGAGACGAGTTCGCTGAGGTTTTGCTTGGCCGGATCTCCCGAGGGAATGAACTCTTTCAGCACCATTCTCGAGCTCTCCGAGTGACTTGAGTGCGAGTCAATGCTGATGTTGCTGTTGTTGGCCACATCCTGTGCAGGAGAGTCCGGCCCAATCACCAGGAGTACTTCCTCTGGGGATTTGTTTGTTTCCTCTCTCAGCTCTGCCTGGGACCTGGGTTCATCGCTGTCCTCAATGCTGTAGAGCTCCGTATCGGAGGCAGCCTCCTCGTCATGAGGTCTAGTTCCTTCACTGCTACTAAAATCCGGGGCATCCTCGAATATCTCATCGGATTCTACGGGACTAATTGGGGTTATCTCTAGCTCTGAATGGGTTGTCTTGGGGGGTTCAGCGTTGCTCTCTCTATTCTCAGTCTGATCTTCTGTTTCTTCCCTTTCAATGTGATCTTCCTCTCTGGTATTAAGCTGCTCCTGCTGGATTTGTTCTTCTCTGAAAATGGCCTCTTCCGTGTCGATTCCATCTGCTGCTGTGGGTGTATGATTACTGGCTCTACTCTCACTGCGCAGACTGTGAGTGCTGGAAGTTCTCACTGGTATTTTAGAGAATCGTTTTGGGCCACGTTTTTGTTCGGTTTTAATTGAAGAAATAACTGGGGTTTCCTCGGCAGCTGAGGTTCTTAATTGTTCATCCATAATAGGTAGAGGTTCTTGCATTGGAGAAGTCTCTGGGGTACTCTGAATGGTAGCCTCTGGTGTAGCATTTGTTTGAGAATGGGCTGCCAAAACGAAGTTCTCCTCTACTGCTGTCCTTGGATGAGTTTCATCTGCAGCACTAGATTGAGATACTTCATCACTATGTACAATCTCCTCCAATTGGGAAAATCTTTCTGTATCTTCCATAGTGGTAACTTCTTCTTCGTGGACCGAGAGGGACTCGCTCGCATCTGTTGGTAACACATCCACAGTCGATTCAATCAGAACGGATTCTGAATCTGCAAGGATTTCATCATCATTCACTACTTCGACTTGGGGAGAAGTTTTTATTTCAGTGGAGATTCCAAAAGAAGTATTTCCAGTATCAGCTGCAGCTGTAGGTTCTGCTGGTTGCGGAATCTCCACGATTTCTTCGCCGATTTGAGCCTCTTGGCTGTGACTCTTAGTTTTTATTTGCGCTGTTGTAGCATTTATCAGGATCTCCTCAGTTTCAGCATCTTTTGTAGGAAGTTTAACTCTGTTCACAGGCTTTTGGCTATGTTCACGAGCTCGACCCTTTTTGGCTTGCTGCGATCGTTTGTTCCTTCGATTTGCTTCCCTGCTCGTGCTGGGTTCATCATCCAGTTGGGCCTGTGATTCGATGAGTTTTGATGGGACCTTTTGGGGTGTTGCATCCAATGTCTCCTTGATAACTACTGGAGCAGCATCAATTATAACTTCTTTGATCTCTTTTGCACTTGTGGATTCTGTTAAAGCTTCTTTTTGACTGATTTCTACAGTAGCCACAGATGTCTTTACTTCTTCAGTATTTGCAGGGATAATCGGAGTCTCAATTATAGTTTCTTGTGGGGTTTGTGTAGCTTCTGCTTGAACCACTTCTACCATTGGTACTGCCTCCTCTTTGGGAGCTGTATAACTCTTGTAAACGATGTGCTCCGCATCCTCTAGGTCCTCCCGTTCCCATTCTGCTTCGTGCAGCCTTTCCATGCCACGATCAAACTCCAACTTGAAGTTGGCTATTTCTGTGGCATAAATAAAGTTTGTGGCAAGTTCTTCTCGTATGGAGGCTTCCCGAATGTTGGGTTTGATGAACTCTTCCATTATATAGACGCCAGGATCGACAATTGGTTCAGCCACAGGCTCTAGCTCGGGTACAGGCTCGACTTTGGGTACAGGAGGCTCCTGTTTGGGTTCCTCTGGCTTCTCTTGTGCCAAAGGTTCCTCCACTGGAACTGACATAGAGGGAAGCTCTGGTTGTGGCTCTGCCTTGAGCTCTTGTTCCACCTGCTGAACAAGGTTCGGGACAATATCCTGAATATGCTGCCAGACAAAGTTCTTCACATCCTCCGAGGACTTGTCCTCCACCAGGGATGATGTTGATGTTGGCTTTAGAGCGTTGAGAATGGGACTCTTGGTGAGAATGCGCATCACCTCGGGATCCGTCTCGTACTCCAACTCCGGCCTGCCCTTGAACGTTTCCAGCATGCTCTCAATGGACCGTAGGACATCCTGATTCTGCTTGGCCTGGTTCTGTTCCATGTTGCCGATGAGAATCTCCAGATTCTTCAGTGTGCTGTCCTCAAGCTGGTAGGGACTAGGCGTGGCATACGAGGACTTGGCGGGGCTGCTGTGGCTGTCGTCTGTCATGGAGAGCGAATCGAATGGCTGTGTCTGTATCTGTATCTGTGGCTGTTGCAGGCAATCCAAAGCGTGAGTGTTGAGAAAGTCAGTGATATCTGCCACACGGGGGAGGGATGAGAGAGAGAGAGAGAGTTGGGGAATTATGATTCAGTGAGTGATTGATTGAACGATCTACAAACTAACCCGACTTGGTGTCCACTCCACCTCCACCTCCACCTCCACTCTCATTCTCTACGCCATTCGGCGATCCCCAGATGCGCATTAGAAATGGTTTGAGTTGTGTTCGATTCAGCTCCAATAGCGCCTGTTCCACATTACCTTGATGCGCTGTCAGCGCATTCACAATGTCCTCACGCAGGAAGTTGCCCTTGGAGGCGAGTTTGCGATACTTTTGCTGCCGCTGTTGGATGCATTCTGCCACTGCCTGCCACACATTGCCGCTGGAGTTGCGCAGCGCTTCTCTGGCCTCATTCTGTGAGATGCTGCCAATGGTATTCTCTCCACGCTCCTGGCCATATTTCGTTGACAAACTCTGCACAGTCTGGACCAACTTTAGCCAGTTCTCGCGCAGCCACTGAATGGGATGAGTGTCCGGTGAGCAATACTTCAGAGCAGCCTCCAGTTCTTCCACCGTGAATTTGTACAGCTCCAATTCTTTGAGAATGATGTGCATTTCCGTCTCGGGATCTCTGGCTGGTTCGTGCTTCATATTCATGGTGAATGTGTCGTGTGGCAAGTCAAAGGGTGAAGAAGTTTGCTGCAACACAAAGGACATTTTTAGCTGTGGAACACATTTTCGTAGTTAGAACTTACATGTTGCAGCATTCGCAGATCGTTTATAAAGTTTGGACGCCTCGTAACCTGGCCTGTGTTCAGGAGAGCATCCAAGCCATAGTTCAGATCATTGGCACTCCGATATCGTTCGTTCTCCTGCGGCAGTTGCGAGTTGCTGCGATAGTAGGGACGTCGTTCCATTTTGTTGCTGGGTTCTGGAGTCCTAAAGCGCTCTGGCACTGGTACGGGTGGTTCCTCCGGCTTAGAGACAAACGGAAGAGCATCGTAAGTCTGCAAGTGATTGTTGGATTAAACTACGGGCTTAATGCTGTTCGATTGGTGTGCCATTACTTGTGTGGATATGCTCTGTGGTGGCGGCGAGGTGCCCATTTCCATCACCTCCTTGCTGTGTGCCTGCTTGAAGACTTCCTCCGCCTGGGCCTGTATGCTCTCATCCAGAGTGTTCCAAATGTTCTCCACGGACTCTGGAAACGGTACGGATGAGAGGCTTTAGGTGTGAGAGGTCTCGGGGATTGGGTTTCAGGATGCAAAAACAAAACAAACTAAAACTCTGGCTGGTGGTTGGACTTGTTTCTGTATTTGGTTCTGTATAAATGCGTTAATGGTTGTGGCTTACAATTGATTCGTGCTCGTTTAGTGGTGGTTACATTCTAGTTTTAGTCTTGGTTGAGTCTTGGGTGTCTGGCTAGGCTTTGGTGCCCTCGAAAAATGAGATTCGCTTTTGTATCCTACCTTTGTGCGTGAAGCCCCGGGCCAGCGAGTTGTCGGATTCGTTTTCCGATGAAGTCTTCAGCGTTGACTTTGGGCTGGGCTTTACTTGATTTTGTGGTGTGGAGATCTTCGAGTTGTTCGTGGATGTTGCAGAGCTCTTGGCCTGGCTTGTCGCAACTGTGGAGGTCTTGACGTGGCTTGTGGAGTTTCTAGAGTTGCTTGTGGCCGATGTGGTGCTCTTTGAGTGGCTTGTGGGTGTTGATGTGGTCCTCTGGGAATTGCTAATGGCTGCTGGGCTGCTCCTGGAGCTTGTCCTGGTGGCTGTCGAAGTGCTTGTTCCACTGGCGGCTGGCTTCTGTGACTTCAATGAGGATCTCCGCACCATTTGCGCCTCCGGTTTGTTGGCAATCTTTGGCTTACTGGACTCGGCTACAGTTTGTGGCTTGGCTGCTGTCTTGTTTGATTTATTGGGCGGCTGTGGTGGCTTGCTGGGCGTCTTACAGCAGATAGAACAAATCTTGATGTTCGGTTCGTTGACAAAAGTGCAGAATTCGCATTCCCATTCGTGATCCGGTGTGGATGGTGGCGGCCCCAGGTCGTCTGCCTCAGCTTCGATTTCTTCAGGTGTGGCCTGGACTTGCTCCGGACTTGTGGCTGCTTCTGGCTCACTCTCCGAGGCGGTGACTTCTTCCACCACTTCCTCGTACTCCGAGGCGCTCTCCTCTGGGGCTGGCACCACCACTTTCTGCACCACCGCCGCTGCCTGAGTGTTCTCATCCTTCATTTCCGGTTTCCGCTTGTGTACCGATCTCTTGCTTGACTTGTGTTGATCCGCCTCCTGGAGTTTCTGCTGTATTTTGGCCTGCACCAAGGCACGTGTGCCCGAACCCTCTGACTCCAGATCGGAGTAGATGCGACTCGTCCGGGCAGGCGGCTGTTCCTGCGTTCTCTTGAGTGTCCCCTCGGCATTGCCGACATTGGAGTCGCGTCTCTCGGGCAACCATTCGCTCTGCACTGACTTGGCAATGGATCCTCGACGATCCCTCATCTTGTGCTGCCTCGATCCGTGCCGCTGTTCGCCATCAACCTCGTCATTGGCAATAAACTGCGAGGCGCTCGACAGACGTCTTTGACGCTGCTGCTGATGATGCTGATGGTGAGATCGCGAGGCGCTGGTCATGGCCGATCTATTCGACACCAAAGATCTGCGATCATCCTGGTCCGAGTCCTCGTCATCTGTGAGCTCGTCGTCCCCGTAGCTGCTCCGCTTCCGTCGCATGGACATGGACTTTCGACTGGGCGTGGGTGAGGCGGGATACCGAGCACGGGAGGCGGCTCGAGATGAAGTCGATGGCGGCATGCCCATGACACCTAATGAGAAGGTTACAGAAGATTTGATTGTCGACACATTTGATTGATGTTTTAGCTCGCTCTCACCTGGATGCATCATGGGATAGCCGCCTGGTGCCACGCCGGGATACATGTGCGGCACCATGCCACGCTGTGTCATGAACACAGGAGGCGGTGGATAGTGTGGATGATGCTGCTGCTGCTGTGGCAAGTAGCCGGGGCCCACATTCAGCGAGAGATTCGAGTGATTGAACTGCTGCTGGGATCCAAACTGTGACCATTCATCGTGATGTTGATGGGGATGTGGCCAAGCGCCACGTTGCTGATTCTGCTGGCAGCCAGCGCAGTTCAACTGAGCCATGGATTGGGCCTAGAACAAGAATATTGTTAAGTATACGCCGCCGCGTATGACCTGTTGCCACTCACCTGTTGCATGCGCTGACTGGCCAGCCAGTCGGCTCCTCCTCCTCCTCCTCCTCCACCTCCATTCTGTGTTGCCAGTGGCCTGCGGTTGTTGGCTGTCGCGGTGTTCAAATTGAACACCGAAGTGCTCATCTGACGCCGCTGGGCACCCGCTGCCTGTCGTTGTCGTTGTTGTTGTTGTTGGAACAACAGGGAATTCGAGTGAAAATTGTGTGAGAGATCATCCGAGAGATCGAAATGGGATGAATTCAAACCGGATGACATGCTGCCGGAACAACGAAAATGCGAGGGCGATGGTGAGATGTTTGACCAATGCTCGAAGCCATTTCCATTCAACAAATGCTGCGACGTTGGGGGAATGAGCAGAGAGAACAGAGAACGAGAAAGAGAGAGAAAGGAGAGACGAGACGAGGGAGACGATACGATATACGATCAATGAGGAATACAATGAGGGGAAAACAGACACATCCAATGGGGGATCTTAACGCTGCTTACCTGATCCGGATCGCCTGGATCCAGGCCCTGCTGCTGTGCCTTTTGCTGGCGATATCGCTGCTGCAGTATGGCCATGCGATCCAACGTGGCACTCGCCTTGCTCTTGATCTTCTCCAGCTGCACCGACGGTGGCCTCTGTATGGCATCGAACACGGATTTGGGTGTGCCAGAGCGGGAGGAGCCACCACCCTCACTCCTGGGTGGCTCTGGCAGCGGGCGATTGTTCATCTGTGTGGCAACTGTAGGAAAGGGCGGAGTGGCGGCTCCCCGCCAGGCTCCGCTGACCGAGGACTTGTGCGAGGGTGTGGGCGAGGGCGGCGGTAGCATCTGCAAAAGAGTCGTTTGGGTTTTTGGGTTCCAGTTTTCGGTTGGTTTCTTTTTTCGTATCAAAGTTCTGGTTTTGCGGTTTCTTGAGGCCAGGATTGAGGATTGCAGATAGACTGATTGTTTTTTGGTTTTATTAAAGCTCTCACAAAGAAGATTACAAACTTGGTACTAAGAGTAGGTGGTAGCCAGCGCCAGGGCTAGGACCAGGACCAGAGCCAGAGCCAGAACCAGGCAGTGGCGGATGTTTTTTTATGGATTTTTGTTTGTTTTTGGTTTAAGAAATCGTGCAGTGGCGTACCTGATCCTTTCGTCCCAGGAACGGTGTCAGCAGCCCCCGCTTGCTGCGCCGCGGTGGCGCCACCGGAGCTGCCGGCCCACCACCTGGCTGTACCTTGGGCGGTATCGGCGGCGTGCCCTGCTCGACGGCCTGTTGGTAGCAAAAGGGGAAAGGTATTATCTGTCATTCGAGGGAATTGCATTCGTCGTACCTTTCGCATGTGCTGCTTTCGCTTGGGATGCTTGTGGAACATGTCGTCGCAGGAAGCACAAAAGATCTGGCCCGCACATTCGGCACAGGTCACCCAAGGGTTCTGGGAGCCGCACAGTGTGCACTTTAATTTGTTGTCTGTTTGAGGAGGATGTCAATCAATAGATCTCTGGGTTATTCCTGAATTATCTCGGCACTTTACCTGGTGTCTTTGTTCGGTTCGCTGTGGATTTTAGTGGTTCGTTGGAGTACTGCTGCTGCTGATTGGAGAACTCAATCACCTCATAGTCGGGCTCTGGTGTGCCCTTCACTTTGGGCGGCAAGGCTGGAGCCTTGTGCAGACCTCCAACTCCATTGCCTGCTACACCATTTGGCGGAGTGGGCGGTGGTTTTGGTCCAATACGATCATTTGCTTCCATCTAAAAGAGTTTCGCTAGTAATTTCTTGATATATTTTTTTATAATATAAATCACTCACCACCCATGTGGGCATATTTCGAACATTTTTATTGAGCAATTGCTGTGTCGTCATCTTTGTTGTCGTTCTGTTGGTCGGGAGGCTACTGTTTCAGATCTTTGGATTATGTAAAAGATGAAGATTTTCCATCAATGAGATGGTATTCCCATATATAAAATATACGATATTAAATCTATTTTTATTGCAACACCCCTTCTGCTCTGTGCCACATTTCAGGCACTTCAAACGACTTCATATTCAATGAAGCAAAACTGCCAACAAAATGTGTCTTGTACATATATGAGAGAATATTTTTAGCTGGCTCACCCAAATTCCGGAGGCAATGTCCTAGCTGCTAAATGCACTTTCGTGTTGGGATGGGATCTAAACGCAGCCAGAGTTCGATCGCGAATACTCGCAAAAATTCGCTAAATTTAGGCTAAAACAGAGAGCCAGAGAGAGAGAGCGGAAAAACCGCACAAAAACAAATATTTTTGGCAAAACATTTCGCTTGTTGCTTGTTTATTTATGAAATGATGCAAATGTGCAAAAGAGGGAAATGGTTTTGTTTTTTTTTTTTTGGTTTTTTGAGTGGTCAATTAGAGCACGCTGTCAACGTGGCGGCTAAGTGGATGAAGAGACCAAAAGAGGCTGAGAGAGAGAGAGAGCAATAAAAAATAAAGAAAAATATAGAGAGAGCAGAGAGAAGAGCAGAGAGATATATGAACAGAGAGAGATATGTACGAGAGATTCGAATAATAATAACAATTTTGAGAGCTTTTCATTGCGTTCTAGGTATATTACAAGAAAACTCTCTCCGAGGAACTATTGTAATACAATTTTAAATGTGAACAAAAAGATAAAATGCTACGAAAATAAAAGAGAACGAGAAGGAAAAGTGCGAGAGAGAGAGCTGTTTGCACCTGCGACTATTCTTTAATGACGCAGGTTGTATTCCATAGCTAACAGGCTGCCAAAAATTATGAAATCATAATTTATATCCAGTCAAAATTCCACTTTCTTTAATCAAAAAATACACAGACTGCATCTAGTGGTAAATTTCCGTCTTAAAATATCAGCAGATCAAAATTTATAAATAACTTCATTTGCATTTTTTTAATATTCCAAAGAAGAAATTCTTTACTAATCGAAACATATATTTTATTTTGAAATAACTCCCGTTAACACCTAATTTACTTACAAAACACAGCCCATTCTTTATACCACTACTAGCGCTCATCACGTATACGCAGCGTTGCCGGGGTTTTCTCTTGCAATTCGGTATCTCTCGCTCTATTTATAAAATCTTCTGCAGTTTGTCCATACATCTCGGCCGAAAATGTGTCACACTGCGAACAGATATTTATGAAAGCCGCCTGCAGGCACTGGTTGCTTGTTGGGTATTAGATCACACATCCACAACCCATTCACATCCACATCCACATCCCACCTTAACCATTCATCTGGTGGATGGCCTGGGAGGCAGCCACCTAAACGTACGCCAAAAACTCACAGACACATAGACACACGCACAAATCACACACTAACACACAAAAGCACAGACAGGGAAATAAAAGTTTTTATTTTTATGGGAAAACTATTTTTAAACATTTCTTTGGCTTGCCTAAATTTGCGTTTATTTAACGAGTTTTCACCATTTTTTCTTGTGTGGGATTCAAAGTTGGAAAAGTAACTACAAAAAATATACAAAATGTTGATGTTTGTGCGTTGCGGGAATGATCTTTTAATTATTTATTCCTTGAACTTTTTCATGGGGGTTTAGCTTTGTGTTTAAAATTAGTTTTCTGTTGTTTATTTTTAGCACAATTTTCTTCACTTCACTCGCTTTTAATTTGATTTGTCTGCGATTTTCCACTCTGCTATTGAACTTTGGGGATTGTTTGGAAAGATCTACATGCATTTATGTATGCTCAGAGATCACTTACATAATTCGATTTCACTTGACGCGTCTTGCCGCACTCAAAACTGCCGCTGCCAGCTGGTACCACATGAATCTATATGTATATATTGTAGGGATTGGTCTGTGTCGCTGCTCGACATGAAATATTTTGCTACGGTCTCGTTCGGCGATCGTCTCCCAACAAACTGAAATCTCTATAAAATTCTAAACAACATTTTTACTGCAGGCCGCAGTTGTCGTATTCGTCGCCAGCGCCATCGCCATCGTCGTCTCTTGGTCTCCGTTCGAGTAGGAAGAAGTCAACTCAACGCAGAATTCTCATTTCAGTCTGGCGTTTTCCCTCCACTTCCTTGCCACTGCTCTGCCCTCTGTCGTGTCTCTTTTTCCTCTCCTCGTCTATTTTCAGTATCGTGTTATAGTATAGAACATCATCGCATGTGTTTTGTGAATAAAATCAACTTTTCAAATTTTCTTTTATATTATTTTATTTCATTTTATCCATTTACTTTTTGTTGTTAAACATTGTGCTAGACTCGCTAGAATTTATGACCTGTTGCTGAGAGTTTCCTGTATTTTAGGTTGAATGCAATGGTATTGTAACCGTCCACAAATATGCAATATTTAATATTCCATCACAATCCAATGATTCATAGTTCAAGCACCCCCAGCAGAAAACTCTTAATCGTTCATCGGGACACTCCCCAAAAGCCTAATAATATTAATTATGATTTATTCCAAACATTAATCCAATGTGATCTCCTGCCAGGCAACCTTGAATAGAACACAGAAAACAACCAGAATTAATTCCAAAATCTCATAGGAGATGGAAGATGGAAGAAATGGGGAAATCGGAGCACAACCTGCTGCCTGCTGGAGGTGTAAATCAAAATGTCATTAGCAGATGGAATATTGTATGGTCTTTAATCCCGTGGTAGGTCCACGTGTGTTGTCTGTTCAAAAATACTCTCGAATGCATAATCAATTGACTGCGAAACGAGTCAAAGTTCGATAATTGCAGGCACGCAGCTTTTTGGGGACTACCGCCTCACACGCCCACGCATTCACCTCATCCAGCGCTCACCCAATGACCTTGACTGACGGATGACGTCGAAAGCCGGCATGGCATGGCATGGCATGCGTCTGCGTCTGCAGCTGATTGTTACCCACCGGCAAATGTAGAAGCTTTCTCTCTCGCTTTCTGTCTCTCCGAGAGAGCGAAAGCTCTGCCCCACTTGGTACTGTTATTTCGGACAACAGCTGTGTAAAATTCCGTTGCTTATGTAGTGTAGAATGTCGCGTAGATTGAGTGTAAAGGAAAACTTGCAGGCACACACTTCACGCCGTCAGCTGGAATTTTCCGGCTGCATTTGCGCAACGTTCGTTGCAGGCGATGGACGTGTGTGTGGCAGAAGACCAAGTTACATTTTCCACCTGCCACTCCTCCACAATAACCCGTTGCGTGTACAAAAGGGGCGTGTGATTGCACTAGTGTGTGTGTGTGTGTGCAAAGGGAAATGGAAAATTTAATATCCCGCTCGTGTGCTTAACGGAATACATGCAAAATATAATACAAAAAGTGAAAGAAAGTGCCTTTATAATTTAACGATTTTCGTGTCACTATTTTGCATAATATTTTTGCTCAGGAGGCAACAATGAACTTATGATTCCAGAATAAATAAAACCATTTCTGTATAGTGTAATATTATAATCAAAAGTTTGTGGAAAACAAATAGATCTCCAAGAGATGATAAATGTTCCCGTTAATGTTGTTAAATGAACTTTAAATCAAGCAAAAGCCATGATACCTTTGAAAAAGAATGATACTAAGTGTTGCCAATAAGCTGAATATTAAATACCAAGAGGATACACCTAAAGGCGACATAAATCTTCCTAATTCCGTATAAAATGCGCCAAAAAATGCAGCATCAGCTGAGCAGGAAGTTCACCTTCACCCAATGAGCAAGGGGACACATGAAAAATCGATTCTTGAATCTGCAACAGCAGCAGCAGCAGCCGCGCCCACTTATCCGACAACTGCACCCCCTCGTAAATCCCTTCGCAAGCCACATAGAAGAAATCCAATAAGCCAAAAGCATCAAAGTGTTTGGAAACCAGCATCAGAGCCAACCCCAACCCCAGTCCCAGTCCCAGCCCCAGCACCCCCGCAGGGATACCATCGAAGCGGGACGCCGCAGAATGGTGGATGCCAAACCGCCGCCCGCACCCACAACGGGAGCGGTGCCGGGTACGCCTCCGGCCGCCTTTGCCGGCGAACGATCCAAAATCAAATTGTTCATGGAACGAACGCCCAGCATTGGGGCACTCAAATCCAAGTTCCTCACAGTGCTGGGCAACAGCAATGAGCTGCTCAATGGAATATCAAATAAGGTACGTGAGTCACGATCAGAGTTCAGTTTCAGCTTCTACTGGGGGTTAAGACTCATAAAGTCTGTTATAGCAGGGAATCTCTCACTCAAACCATTAACCAATTACATTTATAATTTAATCAAATACTTCCTACAGCGAAAAGCCCCTCTCAATTCACGAACCTGACACGCACCCCTCTAGGCGGCAAAAACTGTGTTAGCCTTGGTAATGAACGATGGGAAAGGTGGTAATTGAGGGTGTTTCGGAGGTGGGTTGGTGGCTGGTCGCAGATTGTACATAGCTTCTGTCTATGCTGCAAAAGCGACTGACACTTTGATAGTTTCTGCTGTGCCCTGTTTGCTCTTGTTGTTTCCGCTTTGCCACTGCCACCGCCGCTACCGCCGCCACCTCTGCGCTCGTTTGACCTTCACTTTGAGGCATCGAGCTGGCTGGGTTGGCTCTTGGCTGGTTTGGTAGGTGTGAAGGTTGTGGTTGTGGCTGTGGGTTTGGGGCAAGGACTACTGTTCTCAGCTGTTTCCTTTGTACTTGACTTTCTCTGCAGCCTCGTCCTTGATTGAAATTAATTATACATTCACCAGAGCAGACGAGTAAGTAAATGTGGCAAAATGAGCAGAAACGACGAGCGGGTGTCAAGTCTGTTTACCGTTTGTCGGTTCCGTTCATTATTTAATTAATTTCCTCAGGCTAAACCTGTGTCTTTTTTTGCGGTTTACCGACAAGAAATTTCTCTTCTATTTTGCAGCTGACTTTGAGCTGCAGCAGCAGCGATTCGGATTACTGTGACGATGATGAGGATATACCCAAATGTAAGTCAAATATTCTACCATCTTTCCATGTACTTATATCATGTAATACTTCTCCCAGTTGACGAGACGATTGACTATACAAAAATCGATTTTGAGGGACGTCGGGTGAAGGCACGCCGTGCCCATGAGGAGATCATCTCGGGTCGCTACAGGCAGCCCAATCTGGCGCCACGTAAGCTAAAGTAGAACTCCAATGGGAAACTAGTCATTGCAGAACTCTAGTCCAACATCTAGGTCCCCGCCTGGAGCCCTCGCGGGGTCGTCATGGCGCCCAGAAGCGAGGCGGCAATCCGCAGCGTTCCAACTCGGCATCGTCCAGCAGCTCAGGGGGCAGCAGCAGCGACGAGAGCAGCTCCGTCTCGCTGCCCGAAAATGCGGCAGCGGCGTCGTCGGCGGTGGCTCCACGTTCCCACGATGTGAGCAGCACCACGCGCTCCGATTCCATTGAGAGTCGCAACTCTGGAGGCTATGAAAGGCCCAGGGCCATTGCCGGAGCCCGGCGCAGTGAGCTGGATGTGCAGAAGGACATGCAGCGCATTATAGAACTGCTGGAGGCCAATCCTCCCCACATCGATGTGCAGCCGCCCACAGAAGGAGGGGGAGAATGCGGTGGAGGTGGCGGAGGTGGCGGCGGCTCGGTGAACCGTCAGCCCTGGGGAGCAGGCAGCAACTCGATGCGTGTGCCAGCACGCAGTCGCACATCCAACAGCAGCACTCTGACCAGCCTGAGGGATGAGGTGGACCAGGTGCTGGCCAGCCCCAGCATGGAGTCCACCGACTGGCGGCACTTCATACGCTCCGAGTCGCAGAACTCGGTGCCCTCGTGGGCCTCCTCCATCAGCCTGGACTGTCGTGCCGGCGAGGAGCCCGTCAAGGAGTTCATGAGGCTCTTCACCGAGTTGCTCTTCTACAATTCCACGTGCGTCAACCTGGAGCTAAAGTCGGAGTTCGGGGTGCTGCTCCGCCTGGAGATTGGTCGCCTCTGGTTCACGCGATTCCTCACCGAGCAGCGCAACAAGACGAAGCGCCTCGAGTCGGTCACCTTCCACGGCCTGCCCCAGTACTTTGCTCTGGCCCTCTTCGAGTGTGGCGAATGCGAGGACTATGGCCCGGCATCGGTGCTCATGAATCTCTGTTTTCTCTTCTACCACGAAGGTGAGTGCTGCAACAAGCCGAAGGCAAGGCAAACCTCTAATTGGAGTCCCCTTTCAGTTGAAGTTCCTGGCTGCGATCCATATCGGGAGTACCTGTTCCTCTCTCTACGCCAGCAGCCCATCTGGCACCAGCTGCCCTTCTGGGACACCGTCTTCTGGGACGCCATGCAGGCGGAGCGGGAGCAGCGCTTCGCCAACCTGTTGCGGCGCCAGCAGCGACGTCAGCAGAAGAAGCAGCAACGCCTGTCCATTCCAGCAGCAGAGACAGCGGGAGCGGGAGCGGGGACCACTGCTGCTGCGGAAACAACAGACAAGTCTGTGCGTAAACATGGACCCGATTCCTCATCCAGCTCCTCCCATCAGGCCGCACACTCGGCGCCTCCGCCGGCGAATCGAAAGCAAAGCAAATTGAGTCCCGGACAGCCGCTGTCGGGCAAAGAGCAGGAGGACACTGTATTCCGGCATCTGGGGTGAGTTCTTCCGACTGATTGTCGTAATTCCTATAATTATAGTCTGAGATTCCCTTTGTGCAGTGCCCTGACCTGTAACATGCATTCGCTGGGCACATCCAAGGACGTGTGCATCGACTTTCTCAAGAGACATGCCCTGGGCCACGAGCTATCAAAGGGTAAAGGAATATGCCAACTGATTCCAGCATAAATCCTACATTTTATGCACTTTTCAGATAAAGCAAAGCTCATCCGAGACAATGTCCATCGCATGTACCACGAAACAGAACTTTGGGGCGCACGATAAGCCAAGGTAAACAATCTATCCATCCATCCATCCATCCATCTTAGCGCATATATTCAGATTATATCCCCTGTCTTTTGTCTCTTGGCAGCTCTTACTTTTCCTCAAGTACCTAATGAAAGTGTTTCAAACTTCGTCTCTCCTCCAAAGCTAAACCTTTTTCCGTCTCAAGACAAATCCAAAACTAATCAAATCCTAACTTAAAGTAGCAAAAACTATAAAAAAAAAAGTTCTAGTTTTTGGTTTGAAATTTTTAAGTTTTGTGCTAGCAATTTTCGATGCATGCTCCCTTGGTGTTCCGCAACTGATTTTGATTTGCAATTTGATTGTCAAAGGAAAACATAATGTCTGTAGAATCTGGACATATCGAGAGGTTTTGGTTCCATTAACGTTTTGGATTTTGGCCAGTTGCAGGAATGCAATCAATAAAAGAATACAATACTAATATAGACATGTATATCCATAAATTGTGATAATAATATTTTGTGATTACTTTATCTAGCTATAAATATAAATCTATGAATGTACTGTAAATGTCTACCAAACCAAGAAACCAAAAACCAAATCTAAGCAATTCAACTTAATACCTTAACTATCCAGTTTCGCAACAACAACAACCAAATCATTCCATTGTTACAAATCAAGATCCAATAATTATATTGCAATATTCAGTCTCTAGTTTAAGAAAGAATATTTCGTAAATGTTATGAAATTCGTACTTACTAATAAAAAGTTGAATTACAGTAAACATTTTTTGAATCTCGCGGCAGAAAGTACATAACTGTCATACATGTAGTTACTATTTAGAATTTTATACATTTCGTGGTGCTGTTAGGCGCAAATGCAATAACATGTTCGCTACGCAAACTGTTTACATCGATATATTTACTTATGAGAAAATATCTACCATCTCTAATGTTAGTTTTCCCAAAAAAAAGCCGGTCTGGCGTCGATCTTCTGGCTTCGTGGCTAGGCCACACGGCCTGCTGGAGCCTGCGTTTGTGGCTTCTGGTATCACTCATACGTGTTCTCTCATTGGAGTTGTGTCAGGTTCGGCGTTGCTCCGTTTTTATATTACGACCCTTCCGACCTGTAATATAAAGCAGAAAATGTAAATCCAGCCAGCCACAACAAATCGTAATGAATCAGACGATTGCAACGCAACTCTGTGTCACAGTGCCCCTTCTTGAAAAACACTTGAGAAAATGGCAAATTTGAATCTCGCGGCAGAACCGACAGCTGCTGCTGTCACCACAGAACGCATACATGTGTCAGGTACAGGTTCTGTTAACTTAACATTGCAATAACTAGTTCGGTTCGTTCATGGTTCCAGAGAATAAATGAACGAACCCAGCTGTTTTTGTTTTGTTTTCCATTAATTTGTATTCATTTTAAATTCAACTAATTAAACCAACAACAACCGGCAACAACATCAGGAGGAGCTCGTCTAGCCGAAACATCAACTGCAGCAGCGGAATCAGTTAGTGCAGCACATGGCATGCCAATGCAATACCACTTCAGCCACATAAATCAGCTGATTTTACCGCAACTCTTAAAGTGCGTTTTGAAATGAAATGGACTTGGAAAAGGTTAGTGAAATTTGTCATTCTTTGCCCTGAATCGGCTACCATATTGGGACTTTAATGTTGTAATATGCAAGAAATAATAGATCTCAGGGGGGACGAAATGAGTACGCCTGTTGAAACCTCCACTGACGGACTGACAGACAACTACTCTGCTTTCATTTGTTTCTTTATTCATTAATTGTTTGCAACACAAAAACATAATTTGCTTAATTTCATTTTTCATTTCATTTGGTTAACGCACGAGTGGCGCGAGTATCAAGTAATCCCGAAAAATCTTATTAGATAAATGATACAAATGTTGGTTTTGTTTTGAAATTTCATGTTGTGTACTAATCGCGCTTGAATATGGCTGGAATTTCTTGGTTGCACTGTGGTGGCAAAGCTCTAGAATACTTTTTCAGTTCGTAAAACGAAATAATCATTAGATTTAGGTGTGAACATGGAAAGATTCGATTCGATTCGCTTCGTTTCGGTTCCACGTTTTACATAAGATTTAACAATTACAATTTATTTAGTTACTTCTTTGTACAGAATTGAAAGAGACGAGGCGGGGGTTGGGCCCGTTTAGCAAATTTGGTAGAAACAAACGAGTTCTTGGGCATGATATAACATTTATAAATACAAACTAAATACAACTGACAGAAGGTAATGATCGTAATTACAAGAATTCATAATAAAATAATAGATAAATATTAATAATAATAACACTATAGCAGTAGACAAGCCGACAAGCTATAACAACAATTGCGTGTGTGTGTGTACGATTTGAACTTTCATTTTAAAGATTTTCATAATGCATCATTCCATATCCTTTGGGGCCTGTCTTCCCATCCATTCTCGTTGCGCTCGGAATACTCTTTCCTTTCCTCATTCTTCATATAAATATATACAATACGATTCAAAACGGGCGTCGATAGCTCTCTCCATATGCATATATATCTTTTATCTTCTATCTTCTGTGTGGGTGTGTTTTTGTATCTCTTGTAATTAGGTAGATCGTAGATGGTAGTTGGTCTTGCCATATCCTCGCCCCCTGCATATGGCTAGTGTTTGTGGTTGCGATCACAAGTTGGCGACAGTTTCTGGGTGACGACGATTCCGGGTACCACGCGGGCCTTACTCCACGACGATCTGGAAGGTCACAGAGCCCCTGCGATCGCGGGCACTGCCACTGTAGAAGACATTCTTGGCCCAGGCGCGGCACTCCACATCCAGCATCTGGCCTCTGGGCGGCGAGTGGAACTGCACGGCAACGAGGGGACTCAGATAGCCCGGCTGGTTGAGGTAGGGATAGTAGAAGCTGGGGAATCCCTGACTGGGATAGTAGCTGATGTTCTGGAAGTTCTCCTTATCCTTGCCAAGATGCCCATTGCAGCTAACCCAGATTTGTTTCCGCTAAGAAATTCGACATATATGTAGGGAATCCTTATGGTTTATATTTAGATATGCGTGATAGTTACCTCCTCTTGACTCGTGTTGGTAATGAGCCTTGTCAGATCCTCGGGCATGTCCTTTTCGGGAGCATCGTACACCTCTGGCACCCAGCCAAAGATCTTGTTCAGCTTGAGGAATATGCAGGGCTCGTTTGTCTTGTAGCCATAGTTGTTGGCCTTCGAGCAGGCACCAAACAGATCCATGTTCACCACACAAACATCGGTGGGATTGTGGGTCTGTCCAAAACTACAATGCTTCATCTCCCGCCCCTCAGTGTGATTGTAATCTGTTTGTAAAAGAGTTTTTCAGTGATTTAAATGTCACCTTAGACTTTTTATTGCCTGCTTACCTATCAAGAATTCATCAATCAACTCGATCCAGTAGTCGCTTTCGGCTGGCTTCTTGCCATCAAACTCAATGACCGATCCGCGTTCGGTTTGCTCGCTCAGTGGTCGGAAACCCAGGCCGGGATTGGTGCCTATCAGGGATTCCTTCAGCTGCCACTTGGGCTGTGTGTCGCTGATGGTGGACAGCAGACACTGCATGCAGATGGAGAACAAGGCGGCCAAAACGATATAAAAGATGCCATAGAACAGCATCAGTTGACCTGTAAAGAGACGACATAGACAGTGAGATGTGTGGATTTAATAAGGAAATATATATATCATCTTTCGTTTGTTTGCATAAGTGTAGTGTGTACCTTCAAGAGACGACACTTGTGCAATCTACTTGGTGTAACTATGCAGATTCGCATTGACACGTTCTTGATTGTTTTTGTCATTCACGGAAATGGGGGCCATTTGGGGATGTGATGTGGGATGTGGGCTGTTGTTGTCTGAGGGGTGGGCTTTATGCAATCCAAACAGAACAGCACGCAGCTAATCGAATGCTTACGACTGTTGCAGCAGCAACGGAACAGCAAACACAAACAGAAAGTCGGGGACGTGATGGCACGGGACGGGGACTGGGGACTGGGGACTGAATGGCAAATGAAATGGAATAGGGGAGCGGCGTTCCGCTCGCGTATGTGCTCTGTATTTCAATGTCATTAACATTGACGATTCAGCGAGAATCCAGTGGATGGATGGATGGATGGGATACTCGTATGTTGTTTGTTACTTTCGCTTGAGCTATCGCATCGGACACCGGACCCGGGAGCCGGGTTTCGAGTCCCGAGACTCAGACTCAGACCCAGACCCAAACCCAAACCTAGACCCCATGCCTCACAGCTGTTGCATAAATAAGCGGCAACATCGGACAAACCAAACCGAAACTGACAGCACAGAGCAGAGCTGAGCGACATGAGGGACTCAAAGCTGGAATGAACACTCAAATGTACAAACAAATGAATCGTATGAATGAATATCGAATACAATGCACGAACTTGGGAAAAGTACTGTGTCCCAGCCACTCCCCTTGACCGTTGCTCGACTTGCAACGATTACTTTTTTGGGGAATTGGTTTTGGGACTCTCCTTGGGCTTGGGTTGGCTGTCTGTCCATCTGTCATTTCCCTCATCATCATCATCATCATCATCATTGGGCAGGCAGCACCTGTTTGAACAGCCCAATTTGATGGCCTATCAATAGGTAATCAATCGATAGATGGCCTTCACCATCGCTTTGCTAACGACATTTCCCCATATTTGAGTTTTCGATTCTTCGCTCATCAAAGTTTCAGACACTTTTAGTCCGCCAAACGGCGAAATGGCTCTTTCGCCTGCCTGTTGCCAAGTCGAATTCTAGAAATTCTAAAATGTGGCTATGTTCAAGTACAAGGAAATAAGTTTGGCAATGACCACAGCAGACTGAGGTTGGGGGACTAGGTTGGGGAGGTATGACGCCAGCGAATCAACCACCACAACCACCGGCACGAAGGTGGGACGCCCCGTGGCTCTGGTAACCAATATCCAATGTATAATGAATTCTTGTCTACTACATGCTTACGATTACATGACAGCAGCAGCAGACAGGCAGCGACAGTAGCTGTGGCATTAGAGTCCCCAAAAACATTCGTATGTCTTCGTATCAGCAAGGGGATGGGCAGGGCCCAAACCCTCACCATTACAAATCGATAAACTTCTTTACAGAAACCTGCATTTGACAACTCCTTAATGATGGATTTGTACGTAGAACCCACATGTACTCGCATGTATGTTCTATGTGCATTTGGAAACAAAATAGGAACATGACGTA